GCATACATAAAATATAAGGCCTCTTAAAACAGACTACTATTCTGCAATAGAAAAGATGTGATGAGAACATATAAATAGGGAATCTAACTCAATCTAGGAGGTCAGGGAGGATTTTCTGAAGTAAGAAGTGGATACCAGAGAGTCTGGGATATCTCTGGGGGGTGTGGTGTGTGTTGTGGGGTATAGAGCGTTTTTGGGGGAGGGTGTGCGGGGGGCTGTGGGAGGGGGAGATGTGTCATTTTCAGAGGTGTGAGATATTGTTTTTTTTAGAGCGCGGGGAGAGAGGGGTGTTGTGTGTTTTGGGTGTGGGTTTTGGCGGGGGGTGTGTGGTGTGGCTTTTTGTTCTTTTTGAGTTTTTTTGTTTTTTTTCCTGGAGGCGTTAGGAGGCTTTTGAAGGGTTTTTTTTTTAAAGAGAGTGGTATAATTGGCTTGACATTTTAAGAAAGAACCCCCTATGAGCTTCCCTGATGGCTCACTGGTAAAGAATCTGCCTGCCAGCGCAGGAGACATGGGTTCAATCCCTGATCCAGGAAGATCCTACATACCTCGGAGCAATTAAGCCTGTGTGCTACAACTACCGACCCTGTAATTCTGTAAACCCAGGAGCCACAACTACTGAAGCCAGCGTGCTCTGGGGCCCACACTCCTCAACAAGAGAGGAGAGGTTCTCAACACTACAATGAGAAGCCCTTGCACCACAACTAGAGTACCTTGGCCTCAACGAAGACCCAGCACAGCCAAATAAATAAATAAATTATATTTTAAAAGTACCTTCAATCTTTAAAAAAAAAAAGCCTACTAAATGCAGTATGACTGAAATTGACTTTCTGGACAGTGAGTGGCTATGAGCGCGCTGGTCACGGCCTCTGCTGAAATCTGGTAACCAATGGTGGTGGCTTATACTGAGATCGGATGATGGAGATGGAGAGAGATGGACAGATTTCATTAGGCATTTGAGAAGTATGCTGATCTACATTCAGGGCACAAGGAAGAAACTGGTGTTAAGAGTGACTTCAAGATTGCCTCTAAGATTATGGCTCAGGGATGAAATGGGAAGAGCTCCCATTACCTAACATGGAGAAAGGAGAATGCTGGAAGAAACTTTAATTTGGTGGAGAATGTCTAAAACGAGATCCAGACACAATGAATTTGAGGTGCCTGGGAGATGTTCCAATGACAGTGCCTCCTAGGTAGTTACAATGTGGATGTGAAAGCTCAAAGAAGCCCAGGATAGAGATTCAAAATTGGGTGTTATGAAAGGTAGTCATTGATGCTATAGGAATGGATGCAACTGACTAGAAAGAGAGCATGGATAAGGATAGGGAAGAACCTGGAACCAAGTCTGAAGGAACTCCAAACTTCAGAGGGTGAGTTGGAAAAGGTGAGCTAGCCAAGGAAATTAAGAAGTGACCAAAGAAAAGGCAAGGACACCAGAAAAGCACAACATATTGTAACTCATGGAAAGAGAATGTCTCAAGAAGGGTGTGGAAACTGTGTGGAAAGCTAATCAAATAGGAAGAAAATGTCCACTGAATTTCGTAAGAGAGATTCACTACTTAAGAAGAGCAGATCCTCTGGGTAAACAGGGATGTAACTCAGATTAGAGTGGGCTGACGGATGACAGGAATAAGGAAGTGGAGAAAGTGATTCTATGTAACTTTAGATAATGGGTCTAACTTCCTATTATAGTAAACGCGAAGATGACAGAAAGCTGAACTTGGTAGAAATTGTGAAAGATACGACTTCTGTGAAAGCTCACCCCTTGAATTCAGCCTGGAGGTTGCATTTCCTTTTCTTGTGACATAGGTGGGCATCGTGAATCAAGAATTCAAAAAGTTCCTTCACTATGCCACCTTCATAACTACCATGAACATAGAGAAGGGAGTTTATGGGGAACCTTCAACATAGGTGACACACAGTAGTGGTATGAGAAGAAAGAGTGTGAGGTGGGGAAAAGAGAGGCAGCGACAAAGAAGCGGTCCTAACTACTCAGCACCTGTTTTCCACCAAATTTCCACTGTGCAATTAAATCCAGATCCTTGTGAACATTTATAGGAAATCATAAAAGTAAAACGACACGAATAAATTTGATAGCAGGCAACAGAGAAACTCTGTTCCTTAGTTCCCTAGGTAATCTGGGTAATGCATGTGTGTGTCTGGGAAAGAATTAAATGAAAAGATAGAACTCCTCGGTTCTAGAGGAGAGGAGAACTGAAGAGAAAGAGAAGCTAAACATTAAGATACTTAGGACGATTTGAGAGAGTAGCACTGACATATATACACTACCATGTGTAAAACAGATAGCTAGTTGGAAGTGGCTGTACAGCACAGGGAGTTTAGCTCGGTGCTCAACGGTGACCTAGAGGGGTGAGTTGGGTGTGGTGGTGGGAGGGGACCTCAAGAGGGAGGGGATATATGCATATACACAGCTGATTCACATTGTGGTGCAGCAGAAATTAACACAATATTGTAAAGCAATTATCAGTCACTGAGTTCAGTCGCTCAGTCATGTCTGGCTCTTTGTGACCCCATGGACTGCAGCACGCCAGGCCTCCCTGTCCAACACCAACTCCCATAGCTTGCTCAAACTCATGTCCATTGAGTCAGTGATGCCATCCAACCATCTCATCCTCTGTCGTCCCCTTCCCCTCCTGCCTTCAATCTTCCCCAGCATCAGGGTCTTTTCCAGTGAGTCAGTTCTTCACATCAGGTGGCCAAAGTATTAGAGTTTCAGCTTCAGCATCAGTCCTTCCAATGAATATTTAGGACTGGTTTCCTTTAGGGTTGACTGGTTGGATCTCCTTGAAGTTCAAGGGACTCTCAAGAGTCTTCTCCAACACCACAGTTCAAAAGCATCAGTTCTTTGGTGCTCAGCTTTCTTTATGGTCCAACTCTCACATCCATCTATGACTACTGGAAACACCATAGCTTTGACTAGACGGACCTTTGTTGGCAAAGTAACATCTCCGCTTTTTAATATGCTGTGTAGGTTGGTCATAGCTTTTCTTCCAAGGAGCAAGCGTCTTTTAATCTCATGGCTGCAATCACCGTCTACAGTGATTTTGGAGCCCCCCCAAATAAAAGTCTCTCACTGTTTCAATTGTTTCTCCATATATTTGCCATGAAGTGATGGGACCAGATGCCATGATCTTAGTTTTCTGAATGTTGACTTTTAAGTCAACTTTTTTACTCTCCTCTTTCACTTTCATCAAGAAAGGAAGTTCCTCTTCCCTTTCCGCCATAAGGGTGATGTCATCTGTGTATCTGAGGTTATTGATATTTCTCCCGGAAATCTTGATTCCAGCTTGTGCTTCATCCAACCTGGCATTTCACATGATGTATTCTGCATATAAGTTAAATAAGCAGGGTGACAATATAGAGCCTTGACGTACTCCTTTCCTAATTTGGAACCAGTCTGTTGTTCCATGTCCAGTTCTAACTGTTGTTTGTTGACCTGCATACAGATTTCTCAGGAGGCAGGTAAGGTGGTCTGGTATTCTCATCTCTTGAAGAATTTTCCACAGTTTGCTGTGATCCACACAGTCAAAGGCTTTGGTGTAATCAATAAAGCAGAGGTAGATGTTTTTCTGGAACTCTCTTGCTTTGTCAATGATAACTATACTCCAATTTAAAAAGATTAATATATTTTTTTTAAAAATATCTGGACCCTGGAGTTCTAGGCCACAAAACTAATGACTAAATAAGGAGTAAGTGCAAGCCCTAAGGAAAGAACGGAGATTCTCTGAGCAGGCATAAGGCCACAGGTGGGAAACCAGAGACCTGTTACCTGGGTCAAGAGAAAACACATTCTGATTATCTTTGTTTCCTCAGGTGTGTGTTTCAGAAGGCCTTTGAGGAGCTTCCAAGCCAGAGCTATATAAGTCAGAGAGGGAGAAATAGTGAGAAAGCAACACGGGTGGCTAGGAGGTTGGGTGAGACCGCAGGAATAGGAACTATACAGGGGAAGGGAATGCAGCCTGAACACCAGTCCCCAAGGAAGGGCCGTGCAGGCGTACAGAGTTCCCTGAATTCCTGCTGCTTTCCCAAGTCAGACGGCATGTCTGTGCCCTCAGCCTCCAGATAGTCTACCAGGCGGCTCAGTCTCCAGGAAGCTGTCCAGACGGCTTGGGAGGAGGGACCATGCCACGTCCGCCTACGGGCATCCAGTACGTGTAAAGCACTGGCTTGTATCCTTTATCTACGCTGCCTTGGGGACCTCTCACAGAAGCCCATCCTCGCTCGACTCTCAAGGAAACTAAAGTTCAGAAAATTGATCTACCTCAAGGTCACAACGAAGGGACTTGGATTTGCACCCACATCTTGATTTGGGGCTTGCCTGGTGGCTCAGCTAGTAAAGAATCTGCCTGCAATGCAGGAAACCTGGGTTCGATCCCTGGGTTGGAAAGAAACCCTGGAGAAGAAAATGGCAACCCACTCCCATTTTCTGGCCTAAAGAATTCCATGGACAGAGTAGTCTGGCAGGCTACAGTCCATGGGGACTCAAAGAGTCGAGACATGACTGAGTGCATTTCACTTCACTTCACTGCATGATTTTAAATCCCACACTGTTTCCACCCCAACAAGACATAGGCTAGGAGAAAGTGATCAGTTTCAACTGGGAAGACTAAAGAAACTTGTTGGGGGCAGAGGGCAGGAAACTCTACAGAAAGAGGAAAATTGAAGAAAAGGAAGCATAAAACTCTTTTAGGAGACTGAGTAGATTTACAGAAGAAATCACCTAGAAAAGAGAAGATGATGAGATAATCTGACTTGGGAAATGAGGGGCAAAATGCCTGGGATTGAAAAAAAATTCAGGAACTGAGGACAGAAAATCTGGGTTTGGAAATCAGAGTGAGGATCTCTGGATGGGTGGTGGGGAATAAAGATGCTCACATCCTTTCCTTTGGGTTCGAGAGGAGACAGCCCTCAATTACTGAGCTTCCCCTCTTTGGTCACATGACCATTGCTGGTACAAAAGCTTTCTACCAGCCAAGTTTCTTACCACTTTTTGCTGTGTGAAATAGGTGGCAGCCGTGGCTAATGCTCTGTTCCTCTTTCCCAGAAGCTTTCAGACTCTCCTTCAAGACTAATCTCAAGAAGCCATTATCCCGAAGGAAGACAAGGCAAGGCAGCTTGCTTAATGCTTGCACTCTGGGAAGTGATGCCAGGATCAGAAACGGAGGGGGAAGCGTTGGGGCTGGCTGGAGGAAATTGACTGTGAGAGGATCAAAACCAGAAACAGCAGCCAATGGGGGCAAGAAATTGTGGAGCAGACGCTAACCCTGGAGAGAGGATGGAGGGGCCAGACAGTGTGCCGGCAGTGAGGCTGACAAACCAACGGAAACTGTTACCCCATTAAGAAGAGTTGTTCTGCTTATTGTCAAATCACCCAGCTCAGGAGCAGTGACAGCCCGTGTGCTTTTCTGAATATTCTCTGAAGTCTCTTGGGGGACAAGCCCCATAGGATATTGTGGGCTCACCCCTTCTCCCCGTGCCCCCTCCCTGCACTTCTTCAGCTTCCTCTTTGCAATCTAGTCCCCCCATCCGAATCCGTATTGGACTGGGGAGGGAGAGGTGGAGAAGAATTTGTGTTCTGCAAAAGGAGAGGAAAACAGGTAAGGGGGTGGATGGGGGGCTGGGCACCTGCTTCCTGGGCCAGTGGCAGGGTTCTGAGGAGGAAACAGCCCTAGGTCGCGAGGCCTGGGTTTTCAGAGTCCGAGTTCTCCTGAGAGAAGTCTTCCGATACCCTCCTTCCTGGGGTAAGGCTTGCCTTTTCTCTCTGCAGGTCTCTGACTGGGGAAAGGACTTGAGGAAAGTTGCAGACTGCTAACAGTAACTCCCTGTGTCTGGGAGGAGAGAAGGAGACAGGCTGGGAGAACCACAGGGGGAATTCCCTTGAGCAGCCAAGGATTGGTCTCCCCCAGAGACACATGATGGCAAACGTAGTAACTACTGCTTAATATCCCGCCCCAAGCAGAGTCAATAATTGCTCTGGGCAGTTCTGGCAGGTGGTGTGAACAAGCAGTGGTGGGGGCAGAAAGCCTTGGCCTGGGAAAGGGAGCGTGCCTGGGAGGATGTCCACAAACTGAACCAGACCAGGGTCTGCAGTCTGTGAGCCAGTCCACCTGACCTTGCCCCGTGCCCCTTTTTCATCTTCTTCCAGGACAGCCATGCCAAACTTGGACAACTCCTTGATCCTCACGGCCTACATTATTATCTTGCTCACCGGTCTCCCTGCCAACCTCCTGGCGCTGCGGGCCTTCCTGCGGCGCGTGCGCCAGCCCCACCCCGCACCCGTCCACATCCTCCTGCTCAGCCTGACGCTGGCCGACCTCCTGCTGCTGTTGCTGCTGCCCTTCAAGATCATCGAGGCCGCGTCTGACTTCCGCTGGAAGCTGTCTGATCTAGCCTGTGCCCTCATGGGTTTCGGCTTCTACAGCAGCATCTACTGCAGCACGTGGCTACTGGCGGGCATCAGCATCGAGCGCTACCTGGGAGTGGCTTTCCCCGTGCAGTACAAGCTGTCCCGCCGGCCCATGTATGGAGTGATCGCCGCTCTGATCGCCTGGGTCATGTCCTTTGGTCACGGCACCGTGGTGATCATCGTTCAGTACCTGAATTCAACCCAGAGGGCCACAAAGGAGAATGAGACCACCTGCTATGAGAACTTCACCCAAGAGCAGCTGAGAATATTGCTTCCCATTCGGCTGGAGCTGTGCCTCCTCCTCTTCTTCATCCCTATGGTGGTCACCACCTTCTGCTACTCGCGCTTCGTGTGGATCATGCTCACCCAGCCCCACGTGGGGGCTCAGAAGCGGCGCCGAGCCGTGGGGCTGGCCATCGTGTCGCTCCTTAATTTCCTGCTGTGCTTTGGGCCCTATAACATATCCCACCTGGTGGGGTTCCACATGAAGGCAAGCCCCAAGTGGCGGAGGGAAGCTGTGGTGTTTGGTAGCCTCAATGCCGGTCTGGACCCCTTGCTTTTCTATTTCTCTTCTTCAGCCGTACGCAGGTCCTTTGGGAAAGGGCTGCAGGCACTGCACCGTCGGGGCTCCTCCCTGCTGGGACGCAGAGGCAAAGAAACAGCGGAGGCAGCGAATGAGGACCGGGGCGTGAGTCAAACAGAGGGTGTGCCGAGTTCAGACTTCACCACGGACTAGGGATGTTCTGGACCTTCGGAGGAACTCTGAGTTTCCTACTTGAGCAGGCTTGCAGAGGGAGAACACGGGTTCCTGGCCCTGATTCAGAGACCGTCCCCGCCCCAGACCCAATCCACTCCTGGGGCCTGTAAAAATCTCTCTCATCAGCTCCATATCCCTTCCTGACTGAATTTCCTTCCCAAAGGAGCATAGCCCCAGGACTAAAGAAGAAACAGTTGGGCACAGAAGATCAGACCAGAGTTTCTGAAGCAATGTAGCTAATACAGATTCCAGCAGTCCTTGTGAGGTGGTTAGTAGCTGAAGCTAAGGCAATCTTGCTACCAGCTTTGAAACAACACCTACACACTGGTCTAGTTGGTGATGCTGGAAAGAAGCCCATGGAAAAGATGGAAGAGAAATACTAAACGAGGTCAAAGAAGATGTAGAAAGGTTCTGAACCAAGGGGACTAGAAGGGAGGACAGGGATTTAGACCTTTAATGACTGAGGTGTGGACAACATCCATCTGACCTGCTGCTTTGTAAGTATGATCCTGTCTTCATGTGTGTACCTGTCTCCCCCAATAAACTGGGAGCCACCTGAGGTCTGGGTAGGTATTCTCCCTCCATGGTGCTCCGGGCAGGTCAGAACCCAGCTTGGTACCCGTCAGTTAGAACTCAACTCTGACTAGCACAGGAAAAGACAATCTGGTCTGGGAGATTAAAAATAAAGATTAGAGACTTTCCTGGTGGCCCAATGGGGAAGATTCCATGCTTTCACTGCAGGGAGCACAGGTTCAATCCCTGGTCAGGGATCTAGGATCCTCCATGCCACAAGGCATGGACAGAAAAAAAAATGAATGAAAATAAAGATTATAAAACTCTGAAGAGAGTGTCCACAATTTTTGTGACATTTCTGCAAGCACAAAGAGGGCAAAAATGGGATGGAGAATTAGACTCTGTGGTAGTGGGAGGGTGCTGCCTCTGAAACCACAGAAATCTGTTAATTTTAAAGATGTCATCAGAGTGTAGTGAGTAAGCAGAGTAAGTATGGATGCATTCCTGCCTAGACTGATGAATAGAGATTGGATTCAGAAAGAGGACTGGGGTGAGTCCCAGCTCAAAGTTATCAGTATATCTCAGAGGCTTTAAACATGTTATCCTTCTGCTTAGAAACCTGCAATGTTTTCCTTTCATCCAAAGTTTTCCTCCCAAGAATTCACATCTCATCACCCTACACTTGCCCTGTATCCTCTCTCCCTTCCCAGCTCCACCTGCCTAATTCATTTCTCTGCAAGAAAGGATCCCCAGACTGTGCTCCCAGGTTAATGGTCCCTGCAGCACCTAGTGGTCCGCAACAGAGGCTCCACAACAGAGGGCTTCCCTGGTGGCTCAGTGGGTAAAGAACCCACCTGCCAATGTAGGAGCTGCAGGAGACATGGGTTCAATCCCTGGGTTGGGAAGATCCCTTGGAGAAGGGAATGGTAACCCATTCCAGTATTTTTACCTGGAGAATCCCATGGTCAGAAGAGCCTGGTGGGCTACAGCCCACAGGGTCGCAAAAAGTTGGACACGATTGAAGCAACTTAGCATGCATGCATTCCACATCAGAATAACATGTAGAGGTATAAAAATTCTACAAATAGCCACCTCACATCTACTTACCTGGAATTGCTAGGGGTGGAGCCCCAGCAGGTGAGCTTTAAAAAGCTTCCCAGGTGATCATGAAAGGCAGCTCAGGTCAGGACCCACACTGCTCAGGGTCCCAAGAAATTATTCTTCAGAGACCTTTTCCTGCTTGTAAGTCCTCTTTTCCTCAAACCTGTATTATGCCATCTTCTGATTGCTTGCTTTTCCCTCTCTTGTGAGACACCACTCAAGATGTACTTTCTCCAGAGAGACTTCCCTTATTACTCCCACTCAACTGAGAACTCGTTTTCCACTTTTCTTCAAGGCAATACCGGACTGGTGTCATAAGAGCAATGATTTCACTGTTGATTCTGCTTAGTAGCTAGATGACCCTGAGCAAGTCATAACCTCCAAGCCACTGTTTCCAAATCATACTAATGAGGATACCATATGCCTCTCAGGGTGAGTCTGAGGATTCAAGTGAGACTGCACAGATAGAACTACTGAGAAACTGAGTGTTAATTAACTCTAAGATATCAAACCAGGGGACTTTCACAGATTGGTGATCCAGTGGTCCAGAATCCGCCTTCCAATGCAGGGGACACGGGTTTGATCCCTGGTCAGGGAATTAAGATCCCACATGCCCTGGGGCAACTAAGCCTGAGCACTGCAAAGAAGACCCAGTGCAGCCAAAATTAAATAAATAAATATAAAACTTAAAAAATAAGATATCAATGAAAAGAAGCATAGTAAGTAGAACATTTAAAGTTACAGAAATAATATATTATATACTCAACTATGTAGGGTGGTTTGACAGTAACATGTCACAAAAAATTCTTGGATTTTCAGCTGACTATAAGCTTACTATTCATATGTGATACAGTATACCTTCCAAAAAAAAATAGAAAGCTGATTTGATTTTGGATGGCATTAAAAGAAATTGAGTCTAAATAAGTTGGTGATAATCCCACTTTACTGAGGTCTAATCGGTAGCATGTCCAGTAGTAAGCAGTGCATTTTTTAAAAGGACATTAACCCAAGGAATCAAGCCCAGAAAAACTAACTATAGTGCTTTGGAGATTTAAAGCATAATAATAACACACATTAAATGCCAGACACTGTTCTAGAGAAGGAGCCTGAGACAATTAAGGGAACTTTCCACGGTCAGTATTAAAAGGGAATTTGAATCCAGGTCTTCCCAACTCCAAAGAACCTGCTTTTTTTCACTGACATGTGACAAGCAAGTAAGAGAATGCTGAATATGTGACTGGGACAAGATAAAGTTCATTTTATGGAGGATGGATTTTCTGTAGCCCTGCAGAGAACAAAGATCATGGGCAAAAGAGGCAGAGAGCTACATCTTAAACAGTCAGGGCTCAGCAAGGTAATCACTCCCAAGTCTCCAGGAATTTTGAAATAGAAGACACTCATCTTAGATATGGAGCAAACTTCCATATCCGATAAGGACTGAACCAGTTAATTGCCAGACTCCTTCCAACTCAGAGATTCCCAGGGTTTTAGGGCCATGGCTGCTCTTGCTGAAACGTGCAAGAAAATTTATAGATTTCTGAGCCTTTCAGGGTGAAATTTTAGCTACTCGCTGACAAGCATTTGATCTCCATCAAGTCACTTCATATATAGTCCATATCTTTACTGAGAAATTACTATCATTTGCTTACCAAATATGTACTGATTTTTAACCTACTTATATATCTATTGTAAGCCAGATACTTTGCTAGGACTGGGGTGCAGAGTGTATAAGAGACAAGGTACTTACCTTCTTGGAGCTTCCATTCTAGTGGGAAAAAATAGTTAATAAGCAAGTAAACAAACAATAAGGTAATTTCAGAATGTGGCAAATGGTTTTTACAAATGGGCCAAAACAGAGATATGGGAGAAAGTATACTGAGGGATTGAGAAGGTTTAGAAGATTCTTCAGATCCAGTGATGGTCAGGTGAGACCTGAACAAGAAGGAGTTATCATACATAGGCCCATGGGAAGAGCATTCTAGAAATAGGAACCCCTGGTGCAAAAGGCCTAAGGAGGGAGAAAACCTAAGCTTCTCAGGGGCACAGAGATGATGCCCCCATCTCAGTGCAGGGACAGAGCAGTGGTCTGCAGACTCAGGCATGTTTTAGAAATCCCAGGAGAGTTTGCTGAAGCATAGCTTAGTCTTCCCTCCCCACAGCTTCCAAATCAGTAGGTCTGGCACAAGAGTCTGGATTTCTAACAGCCGCAAATGATGCTGATGCTGGTGTTTCAGGGACCACACTTAGAGAACCACTGGGCTGGAATCTTGTGAAATGGGGAAGAGGGTGAAAGAGGAAGTCAAGGAAATGAGCAGGGGCCAGACAATGCAACGTGAATGCATGAATTTATTGCAAGAATCTTTGAAGTCATTCTAAAGTTTGAAGCAAGAGGGTGAAATCATCTGATTTCTATTTTCAGATGATAGATGTGGTATCTGGGCTTACCACTGAAGGGAGACGGTTGTTAGGATCAAGGAGATAATATGCACAACAGAGTTAAGAACAATGAAGTAGCAAACACGAGGGATTTTCATCAGGCTGGGAGCTCCGTGAAAGTGAGGCGGTTTCCTTTTTCATCAGAACTGGCCTCTCAAGAACCAAACAGCCAGGAGGAGGCCTTATAAGTTATCACGCATCTACTTGATAAATAGGTGACCGATGCAATGGACCTGAGTTTGAGCAAGCTCCAGGAGACGGTGAAAGACAGGGAAGCCTAGCATGCTGCAGTCCATGGGGTCATAAAGAGTCGGACACGACTGAGCAACTGAACAGCATATGTAAGCTGGTTCTTCGGATGAGAGTGCAGGGGGAGGGGAGTGGGAGCGGGGTGGGGGAGCAGGGTAGAGGGGTAATGGTGGGACAAGGGATGGAGGGTAGCAAGGGCCCTGATTTGCAGCACTTGCCAATTTCTGTGGCCACACAATCCCTCCAGGGCCAGTTTCTACACTGAACATAGGTTTGGCAATCCATGCTAAAAATCAGCTCTTGCAAACCAGCTCTTGCAAACCAGCTCAAGCACATTACTACATGCACTGCCCAGCACATAAGCTCAACTGGCAGATTGGTCACATCCTACTTGAGGAAACTTTCTCTCCCTGGTTACAGGGAGCACCAGGCTCGGGCACAGGACTTTCAACACAATAAACACTAGCTAAATGTGGCTGACTGGGCCAGTTCCAAGAGAATCTGGGTAGCGGGTTAGCTGTGGGACTCCTCTGAATTCCCTGCAGGATGACAGATGGGTAAACAGAAATATTAGTGCCTGGTTAATGAATAACACAGACAGCAGCCTAGAGCCGCTACCAGGAAACAGGGGTGGAGGGAGATATCTGAGCCTGATCTGCGGGCCTGACCAGCAGGAAAGGGGAACCTGGCATTGACTATTTCACTTCCCCTTTCTGGAAAAGATGCTTCTGTGGCCCTTTCTCAGAAATTCTCACTGACCATACATATGGTATGGTTTGTGGGGGGCACTGTGGTGGGAGAAGGCAGACGTGGGTAGGCCCGGAGAGGGTCTAAGGGAAGACACACAGCCAAGATTCCAACTCCGTTTCCTTTAACTTCCCTGCTCCTTCCCTCCAGATTTCTATTGGTTCTGTCACTCTCTCTTTTTTTCAACTTTCTCTGCCTCCTATGGTTAAATATTAATACTTTTGCCCTATTTTTTTCCTTTTCATTATTTTTCTCTAATCACAGGAAATGAGGACATTTCTCATCTACAAGTTGCACATTCAACCAGGAAACTGGGCCAAAGATCACTAAGCCTTCAGATTCAGTAGTCCAGTAACCTACTTGGCAGAGTTTTGAAGGTGTGATAAGGGAGAAGATGTGAAGTGGTGGGGGTGGGGAGCCAAGGCTGCAGCTAGCTGTCCACCAACAGCTTACTCAAGGAGGGGCTCTTTTCTAACCTCAGGCTCCCTCTCCCCAATCATTGTCCCCTGCCATCTGTCAGCCGTAGCCTCAAGGAAACAGTGTTAGGGAAGTAAACATACTGCTCCCAAATCTAGATGTTTTAATCATGTACAGCAGTCTCAAGTTTCTAAAGTGCCATATCAGGACTTC